GCCGTGGACCCGTCCTGCGCTTGCTGCGCGGATGGGGCTCGGCCGCGGCGCTGACCGGTCAGTGCCGGGTCGGGGGTGGAGTGGGGAGGGTGGAACTGGAGACTCCAAGAGTTTTCCGGGGTGATTTCTCGTCCTGTGTTTTCAGAGAAGGGCGGGAAGACTCAGAACCGACCGGACAAATGTAAGGACCCCTCGTCGCGCGTGCGTCTAAGGCCCTTGTCCTGCTGTCTGTCTGCCCGGTGGGCTCTGTCCCAGAGTCCGAGGGCTGCCCGGGCAGGGAGGCAGGGCCGTGGCTAGGGGCGGAGGCACTGAGTCAACAGTGAGTTTCCGGGGGAAAGGCCCCCGTGCCAGTCCTGTTTGCAGCCCACATCCGACCTCGGTCCAGATGGGGTGGAGGATTCTGGGAGAGGCGCGCGCGGTGGGCTGAGGGAGATGTGGGCTGGGCTGAGTCGAGCCCCTGCTCCCTGTCCCAGCCTTGCGCCCTGAGTTTGACTGGAGGGACCCGCTGGTGCTGGAGGAGCAGCTGACAGCTGACGAGATCCTCATCAGGGACACTTTTCGCACCTACTGCCAGGAGCGCCTGATGCCTCGCATTCTGCTGGCCAATCGCAACGAAGGTGCCCAGGCGGGCTAGTGGGCACCCTGTCCACCATACACAGCACCTCTGCCTACTCTAGCTGGGCTTCTGGGCACCTCTGTCCCTGGGGTGGGGTCTCCAGTGGGCCAGAGGTAGGCCTGACCTTGGTCATCTGTCCATTTGCAGTTTTTCACCGGGAGATCATCTCGGAGATGGGGGAGCTTGGTGTGCTGGGCCCCACCATCAAAGGTAGGGATAAGTCTCTCCACACTCGGCAGCCCCACCTGTGTGCTGGAAAGCCCCTTACTTCCCGGAGCCTGTTTCCCAGTCTGCAAAGTGAGGCTGTTGTCCCTCAGTCCCGCTGTAGGGCTGAAATGAGTAAACCCTCAAGCGAGGGCCAGCTTAGCGCTCCCTGCTTGGGTGCCCCTATGTATCTGTCTCTTAGGCCTCAGGAGTCACTGGTCCCAGCTGGCAGGCTTTGCCCCCATTGCCCTGTCTCCTCTCCCCACTCCCCCACCAGGGTATGGCTGTGCTGGAGCCTCATCTGTGGCTTATGGGCTCCTGGCCCGGGAACTGGAGCGGGTGGATAGTGGCTACAGGTCAGCAATGAGTGTCCAGTCCTCCCTCGTCATGCACCCCATCTACGCATATGGCAGCAAAGAGCAGCAGCAGAAGTACCTGCCCCGGCTCGGTGAGTGGCTTCCTGTGGAGCTCGGTGGAAGACAGTCCCCGTGGTCTGGAACTCAGGGATGGGGCTGTCCCCTGAGCCTACCTTCTCTTCCCACTTGAAGGATAGCACCAACGGCCACCTGGACCCTCTGCCAGAGCCTGGGCTTCATCCTATAAATCCTGGCCATCTCCTCCTAGGTCTCTCTTGACTCGGGCCCCTGCTCACAACCATCATCTCCCAGTCTCCCTCTTGATTTGCTTTGTTTCCCCCATCCCAGCCCAAAGTTTAAAGTCTTAACTTCCTGACTGGGTCCAAGAGGCCTCATCTGTGGTCACTCTCTTGATGGGTTGCCCTAGTCAGACTCAGTTACTTGGAACTCTAAATGTACCACTGGGCCTTTGCACATCCTTTTCCCCACATCCAGGACTGCTTTCTCCACACCTTCTCCTGTTTAGCTTTCATGCCCCTTCAAGAGATTTAGGTGACTCCTGTGGGTCCCCCATCATGGCATGTGACTATGGCAGGGGAGGGGGAGACCTGTTCCTTCACCACCTGAAGTGCTGTGAAGGCAGGGCCAGATCTGCCTTAGCCTGGCTCAGTGGAGAGGGTGACCCTTTTCAGTTGAGGGTGTAAATGAGGGACACCCTGTCTCATACCTACAGCCAAAGGGGAGCTCTTGGGCTGCTTCGGGCTCACAGAACCCAACCACGGGAGTGACCCTGGCAGCATGGAGACCAGAGCCCGCCACAACCCGTCCAGCAGGAGCTACACCCTCAATGGGGCCAAGACATGGTGAGGGGCCTGGGTACCTCAGGTGGGTAGGCAGAGGCAGAGGGGTGGCAGCCAGATCCTCACTGTCTGTCCCACCCCCCAGGATCACCAACTCGCCTGTGGCCGACCTGTTTGTAGTGTGGGCTCGGTGTGAAGATAATTGCATTCGGGGCTTCCTGCTGGAGAAGGGGATGCAGGGCCTCTCGGCCCCCAAGATCCAGGGCAAGTTCTCCCTGCGGGCCTCAGCCACGGGTATGATTATCATGGACGGTGTGGAGGTACCAGAGGAGAACGTGCTGCCCAATGCCTCCGGGTTGGCGGTGAGCAGAGCCACCTTGGGAACTGGTGTTGGGTCACATGTTGATTCACCTTTCTTGGGCAGGCCCTGTGCTGGGGACCAGACAGACATGGTCCCTGTGCACATCCCTTTCTGGTGATTATCTTGCTCATACTGGCTCTGCCCAGGACATATTGGGCCAGAATCAGCTTAATCCTTTGACACATGCACATCTTCCTGTCTCCTATGTCAGCTCCTATATCTGAGCAGTCAATCCAGATCCTGGGCTGGGTAGAACTGTGTGAAAATCAAGAATGAGTAGGCACTGAGCAAGATCTGCCATGCATGAGCTTTGGTGCCAGGGCTGCGTGTGATTTAAGTGGCCTACCTAAATCCCCCCATTTACACTGACTATGTGTTTGGGTGTCTGAGGAGGGAGTGTCCCCCTCTTCAGAGCTGGTTCTGCACACACCCTCTCAGCTCTTTCCTGATGGAGATAAGGTCCCCTCTCAATCCTATAGGGTCCCTTCGGCTGCCTAAACAACGCCCGGTATGGCATTGCCTGGGGTGCACTTGGAGCTGCTGAGTTCTGTTTGCACACAGCCCGGCAGTACACCCTGGACAGGTGAGTGGGGGCTGACCTGAGAGCTTCAGGTTCCATCCTGTACCCCACTGGTGACTCCCCAGCCCAGCCCACCAGACCTAGGCTCCCTGCTGTGTGAAATAGCCGGGGAAGGCCCGCTGAGCAGTGATGGGTTGAGTCAACGACGGCCAGCACGAGTTCGGCAGGGACTGAGGCAGCCTGGAAAGGCTACCTGGGCCAGTGGAGCCCTGGGAGAGGACTGGAGAGTGGGCCCCCTCTTTAACTTACCCTGACCTTGCCTGCCTAGGATACAGTTTGGCGTCCCACTGGCCAGGAACCAGCTGATTCAGAAGAAGCTGGCGGACATGCTCACCGAGATCACACTGGGCCTTCATGCCTGCCTGCAGCTTGGCCGCTTGAAGGATCAAGACAAGTAGGGACCATTTGTAGTGGGAGGCAGAGTGGGACAGCTGCCACAGGACCCTGTACTTCTCCTGGGCATGGTGGTTGCTGGCCCTGAGAAGAAAAGTCCTTCCTACCTTGTGGCCCTTGGGGTCCTGATCCCTTTTCTCTTGGCCTTGATGGGCCAGGGCCCACCCTTCTTGTCCCTCATGGGGAGCCTGGTGCCTGCTGCTTTGACTGTAACATGGGGAATCCTCCCCCTGGCTGGTTTGTCTAGGGTGTAGGGGTGCCTGGAGCAGGATCAGCTCTTTGTAATCAACACTTGTTACATGTCTGTGTTGCTTCCAGGGCCACTCCGGAAATGGTCTCCCTGCTGAAGAGGAATAACTGTGGGAAGGCTCTGGACATCGCCCGCCAGGCCCGAGACATGCTGGGGGGAAATGGGATTTCTGATGAGTATCATGTGATCCGGCATGCCATGAACCTGGAGGCCGTGAACACCTATGAAGGTGGGGCTGGATCCTTCAGGGAATGGGATGGTTGCAGTGGCCTCACTATCTGGGGAAGAGGGGCAGGGACAGCTGTCACCACTGGCAGCATGACATGAGGCAGCTCCCACCCTATATTCCTCATCTGAGTGGCTCACACTGGGACCTGGAATGTGAGGTGCTCTCTGACCTTTCTTTCATGTTGCTTGGAGGTGTTCCCAGGAGTGCTGATGGCTTTCTCACGCAGCCCCAGAGTGGGGCATGATGCCCAGTGAGCTGGTGATACAAAGGAGAATACACACAGGCCACTCCATGTTATGTTAAGAGAAAGAGAACCATTTGCACTGTGGTGTTTGCAGCTGGCAACTGGATGTGATGCAAATGGGGTCTGGAACCCATGCCTCATGGGAAAACAGATGTGGAAAAAGTGGGACTGAGTCCTTGGAGGTGTAGGAGCTTCCTAGGCAGAGACGGTGAAATAGCTTCTGTGTGCTATTCTGGATGGGACATTCCACAGACTAAAAGAGGGAGGGGTGGGGGGATCCTACAGGTGGGAATGACCCTTAGGGTAAGAAGAAAGGGTCTTCAGATGATTTTAGGAAAGGGAAGGGAAGGGTCAGGTGTGCACTTTAGAAAGTAAACAATCATTTTGCTCCATATAAGGGAGACAGTAATCTTTGCCTTCTGACCCTGGAAGCTGAAGAGCAAATGAGAGCACTGAGGCATGTAAAGTGTTACCCAAACTCAAGGGCAGGTGGCAGCCTCAGGACAGACTAGCTCAGCTGGGCAAACCATTAAGTGATGTTTGCTTTCGCATCCCTCCTGTGGATGAGAAAGGGCCTGATGTGCGTCCAGAACCCATCAGAACTCTCCACCTCCATGGGAAGGAAGCATGGCTGGGTTGAAAATCAAATGTTTAATGAACTGTGCAGGGCTGGGGTGGGGTAAATTTGCCACATGTTGGGGACACCAAATCTGGGCCCATGATGGTGGCTGGACTCCCTGCCTTTGGGTCTGGCACAAGCTTTTTGTTTTGTTTTTTCTAAGATGCATTATAGAACTGTGAAAAACAATTTTCTCAGTGTGGCCAGAATGGTGGCCTCTGAGCCTTCTCTTGGTGGCTGTCACTAAGAGGTAACTCTCTCAGAAGCTGTCAGCATTCGCCATCTTTATGGGCTTGTTCTTCTTCCAAAGTAGTAGCCTGGGGAGGGGAAATGAAGATTGACTTTAAAGGGAAGTGGTAAGCTGTTAAGACACCAAACTAACTTTGTATTTATCTTGTCCAGGTACTCATGACATTCACGCTTTGATCCTCGGAAGGGCAATCACAGGGATCCAGGCATTCACAGCCGGCAAGTGAATACACTTCACCCAGGAGCCTGGATGGTACCGAACCCCTTCCCAGGGAGCGGCTGTGCTCTGCGCTTACTCAGGGAGGTGGCAGATGGAGCCAATTTTTATGTTGGGAGGTGAGAGACACTGATTTTTAAATTACAAAATTTCCCTTTTGAAGTCACTCATATGTGCTCCTTATAAAGAAGACGGACTCTGTACCAAGTTTCTCAATCCAGTGGACCCCACTTAGCTTGGAACAGAAGCTTCTCTTGACAGGAAGCAGGGAAAAGAAAGAGAGTGACACAGAAGCAACCTCTATGAGACCTGATCTGGTGTCTGACGGAGCAACCACCCTCCCTCTGAGTTCCCTGTGTACCCTCTGACCTTCCCATCTGGGGGATAAGTGCCTTATGCTGACGTTGGGGCAGAATGTGGGGGAGAGAATAATAAAGAGTCTGGGAGGGGGGCAATGGGGTGAAAATTGGGGACATCTGTAATACTATAAAAAGCTGCATGTCTGATCCTCAGTGTTGGGCCACATTTACTTGTAACCGCTACGTGAGTAGTCCTTTCAGTCACAGGGAAATGAACATGAGTGGGGGCTGGGAGGTACTCATGTGGGAATTTCTTGTGCCCCCACAGTGACCTGGCCCTTGTCTGCATCTTTGCCTCTGCTGTAATAAGTAAACCTGGTTAGGCACTGCTCAGGGCTGTGGGTGGAGGGGACTTTGTCCTTTCTATCACCACAGACTGGCCACACAGGAGTGGGAAATAACAGTGGGCTGGCTTCTCAGCTCCAACACCCCATGTTTACAGGAGAGTATGGCGCCACAAGCGAGATGGCAGGAGCTCCCGGTTCTGTTACATTTACTTTCATCTCAGCCCCTACAACTCTCCTCAGGCAGAGCCTCCTGTATGGGTGTAGTCATACCTCTGGCTGGACACACAGGTCTTGGAAGTCTTTGTACACGGTCTCCACAGTGTGGCACACTTGTTTGAGCTCTGTTTCCAAATGGCTGATCTTTGCCATTTTCTGGGTGAACTCTTGGAGCTTTTCCTGAATGATCTTGTTGTGGTGATTATAAAGTTGATACATCCTCTCCTCTAGCTTCTCTGTCAGATCTGAAACCTTTTAAACAATATGACATGTTTTTGAAAAAATCAAACCAGAGGCATCATAAGACATGTGTTTTAAGTGGCTCCCTAAGATTTCTGCAGTTTATCATTAAAAATTGTTAAAAAAAAAAAAAAAAAAGGCCGGCCTGTATGGCTCTGTGGTTGAGCATCTATCTATGAACCAAGAGGTCACCGGTTCAATTCCAGTCAGGGCACATGCCCTAGTTGCGGGCTCAATCAATGATGTTTCTCTTTCATCAGTGTTTCTTTTTAAAAATTATATGTGTATTGACTTCAGAGAGGAAGAGATAGAAACATCAATGATGAGAGAGAATTACCGATCAGCTGTCTCCTGCACGCCCCCTACTGGGGATCGAGCCCGCAGCGTGGGTATATGCCCTTGACTGGAATTGAACCTGGGACCCTTCAGTCCCGCAGGCTGACACTCTAGCCACTGAGTAACACCAGCTAGGGCCAATGTTTCTATTTATCCCTCTCCCTTTATCTCTAAAATCAATAAAAACATAGTTTTTAAAAATGGTAAAAAACAACTCCAGTGAGTAGGAGTGAAAATTGCCTATATTAAGAAAAAAATTTTAAAGCAAGATTGAAAAATGATGTATACCGTATAGGCTCCACCAGGTTAAAAAGAAAGTACATAACAGAGACTAGAAGAAAATATGCAACAAAGTAGCCTCTGGGTGGTGGGATCATAGGAATGTTTTTATATTTTTTTCTGCTATGTTATGCTCTATTTAATTTGCTATGTGTACTGGTAGAGATGGGAGGGGGCAAAAAAGGTGGGGAAAAGTCAGCCTGTTGTCAAGAGATGTCCTACTCCTGAGATCCCGTGTGCATTCTGAAGAAGCATCAGGGATAATCATTAACACTGTACCTGAACATAACAGGCTTTGTTAGACATAAGCCCTGGTCATGTTGAGGGATCTCTACTCTGCCACCAAAGCCATTTGACTTCCGGAGGAAAAATGGTTGTGTTAACACAGACTATGCCTCAATCCTCTACTCCCAGTAGCCATTAGTCCTGGTGTGTAATAAGGTGGCTGGGCTGTGGGTGCAGCTAGACCTCGGTCTCTCATTCTGAAAAATTATTTCTAAACCTTACTTTTCCCATCTATAAAATGGGCACATTCTTTGCAGAGCTGTTGGAAGGTAAAATGAGGTACCAAATGCAAATTGCCTGGCACCATGCTGGGACCATAACATACTCCGCAGTGGTTCATTCTCCTACCCTTCATCTTTTACATAAGGACTTTCCCTGCCCCACCCACTGGGGTTTTGCAGTGTGTGTGTGGGGAAATCTTGTCACCTTGATCTTGAGGCTGTCCCTGAAGTTGGTCATGAGTGCATGGTCCTTCTGCCTGCTCTCATTGATGTTTTCGATCAGCTCCTGGGCCCTCTTCTTCAGGATCTCAATGCTAGAGTCCAGAGATGAAAAATAGGGTCCCGACTTCCCTTCCAGCATCATCAGCTGGCGATTGGCACTGGAGGTGGCGATAGAAGGGCTAGAAACCTGACTTCTGAAAGTATAGGAAACCGAGGTCAGCCCCAAATTCTCCCCAGAGTGGCTGACATGAATTAGCTCCATGGTGGGAGAAGAAATAGTGTTGTGTATCTCCCGTGGGTGACGCGCTTGGTTATTTTATGCACCACTTCTGCCCTGAGAGGCAGAGATGACATCCCTATTTTATAACTAAGAAAACAGACCCGAAGGCACACAAAAAGCCTGCCCAAATTTCCAGAACGAGAAAATCTGCCTGCCCCTGAAACACATAGTAATTTTATAACATCAACTTGCTGTTCTGAAATGAGCATCAATAATTCTATTTATAAATAGTATAGATGCTTTCTTAGATGGATCTTCCTGTCACCAACCTGCTGTATTCCTTTCTAAATCTTTTGGGTGATGTCTGCAGCCTGCAGTCCATCTGGGGTTTAGTGTACCTGCAGGACTCTGCTCCCACTAGATGAGGCAGCCAGTCAAGAATTATGTTAAAAGATTTTTTTAAATGCACAAAAAAAGTTAGTTATGTTTGTACACTGTACACATAACTATAGTAATCTAATTCAATTAAATGTCATATTAGTAAAATGGTAAAAAAGTGACGGCTGTCTAATAAAGCTAAATTGAATGAATAAAAGTGAGTCTAATTTTTAAAAAATATTAAATCAGGTATGGGGAGACAACTATAGATTGGAACAAAGATCATAAAAATCTAGAAGGATCTGGCCAATGTGGCTCAGTGGTTGACCTATGAACCAGGAGGTCAAGGTTCAAATCCTGATCAGGGCATTTGCCTGGGTTGTGGGCCCGATTCCTCGTATGGAGCGTGCAAGAGGCAGTGGATCAATGATTCTCATTGATATTTCTATCCCTCTCTACCTATCCCTTCCTCTCTGAAAGCTATAAAAATATATTTAAAATAAATAATGTTTTAAATCTAGAAGGACTCTGTATACAGATCACTTTGTCATGGCTTGTAAGTTTTCATTCTTCTTTTAAAAATATATTTTTATTGATTTCAGAAAGGAAAGGAGAGGGAGAGACAGAAACATCAGTGATGAGAGAGAACCATTGATTAGCCACCTCCTGCACACCACCCACTGGGGATGGAGCCTGCAACCCAGGCCTGTGCCCTGACAGGGATTCAAACCTTGACCTCCTGGTTCATAGGTCAACGCTCAACCACTGAGCCAAACTGGCTGGGCCACTCTTCTTTAAAAACAAAATTGGAAATTGTAGGTAATACATTATTAATGAGGTGTATGGGGAAAAAAGTTGCAATCTAGTCAGCAGACTTATTAATGTTTTAAATTAAGATAAAGTGTTTAAGCCCTGGTCAGTGTGGCTCAGTTGGTTGGGGGTCGTTCCATGCACTGAAAGGTTTCTGGTTCCGTTTCCCTGTCAGGGCTCACACCTGGTTTGCAGGCTCCATCTCTGGTAGGGGGTGTGTAGAAGGCAGCCAAGAGGCAGCAGATCTATGTTTCATTCTCACATTGATGTATCTCTTTTTGTCTCCTTCCCCTTCCTCTCTAAAAATCATTTTAAAATCTTTTTTAAGAAAGGTGAAATGTATAAGGCAAGCTTTATTTATTTACTTACTTTCTTACTTACTTATTTATTTTGCTTTTTCTCTGCTTTATCTGCCAGCACTTTCTATCTGCCAAGCACCTTATCACTGCTTTGGGGTCTGTCTGCTCATTATCTTCACCTCATAACTGAGGACACAGGCTCAACCTGGTTACTTTCTCAGGATTAACAGCTAGTCTGTGGCAGAGCTGGGTGTGGCACCCAGCTGGCTCAACTCACAGCCCATGTCCTGCTTCCTCCTGGGTCCTCAGTTTCTCTTTTATCCTTTGAGGTCCTCCCAATTCTGAGACTTGGAGGTGCCAGCCACCACAGGGATTCCTGAACATGCCAGTTCATACACAACTATAAAGTCTGCCCTGACTGGAAGCCAGTCACTGCTTACTTGGAAAAATACATCTTGATTTTTTAAAAATATATATATTTTTGATTTCAGAGAGGAAGGGGGAGGTAGAGAGAGATAGAAACATCAATGATGAGAGAGAATAATTGATTGGCTGCCTCTTGCACGCCCCCTACTGGGGATTGAGCCTGCACCCAGGGCATGTGCCCTTGACCAGAATCGAACCCAGGACCCTTCAGTCCACAGGCCGATGCTCTATCCATTGAGCCAAACCAGCTAGGGCAACATCTTGATTTTCTGATGCTTTCTTCATAAAACTATTTCTCTTGGCTTTTTCCTGACAGCCTGAGCTCTTCCTTTTGGCTGAGAAGAGAAGTACAGTAAAATCGAGGCCCACGGATCTAACTGTGTCCTGGTCCTCGTGCATTCCTTGCCAGATTGCTTCTTGCCTCTGTGTCTTTGCGCCTGCTCTCTGACTCAACCCATGAGACCTAGCCAGACCACTGCCTCCTTTCAGAAGCTGTCCAGGACCCCCGTACCTATCACTACGTTAGCTTGTCACTACTCACAGCCCTATCTCCCCAGAGAGATGGGTCCCATTTATCTTTGCATTCCTAGCATCCAGCACATAGTAAATCCTCCACTGTTTGCTGAATGAATGAAGGACACCTTCTGTCAGACCTATTCCTCCCTCCTTTGGCTTCTCACAAAGCATGCAAGTTCAACAGCCTCCAAGACAAGACACTGTGTCCAATGCATTTTAAGATGGGAATGCTGATATTTCTATAGCAAACATTTACATCAGCTAGAAAGCAACAGACCATCTAAAGCAGTGGTTCTCAACCTTCCTAATGCCGCAACCCTTTAATACAGTTCCTCATGTTGTGGTGACCCCCAATTTCATTGTTACAAATTGAACATAATTAAAGCATAGTGATTAATCACAAAAACAATATGTAATTATATATGTGTTTTCCGATGGTTTAGGCAACCCCTGTGAAAGGGTCATTCGACTCCCAAAGGGGTCGTGACCCACAGGTTGAGAACCACTTAACTAAAGGCTCTGTGAGCATTCTTGACTTGTTTGCTAAGCAATTTACAACCTCCGAGCATACAATTACTCTTCTTTGTTAAGGGGAGGTGAGGCAGAAGGACACGAGTTCAGATCTGTGACACAATGACATTTTAACATTCAGACTTTTGTAATATCTGGATGCACGTGGAGAACACAGAATGCTTCTAAAAGGACAGCCATGCTTTGCACAGTGGTGATGGAGCTGGGGTCATGGGTTCCAACACCTGGCTTTAACTTCGCTAAGATCTCAAACACTAACTACCCTTTTGTTCTAAACCCCGGGTTCAATCACTTCACTCTCTGGCTGATGGTCTCAGCCCCTCTTCCCTTCTATTCCGTGCCACACCCACTTGCCAAAACCCCACCCTGGCTCTCTACAACCAACCGCTGTTTCCTCTCTCTCTCTCTCTCTCTCTCTCTCTCTCTTTCTCAAAATATTTTTATTGATTTCAGAGAGGAAGGGAGTGGGAGAGAGAGATAGAAACATCATTGATGAGAATCAGTGATCTGCTGCCTCCTGCATGCCCCCTACTGGGGATTGAGCCCACAACTCAGGCATGTGCCCTGACCAGGAATCGAACTGTGACTTCCTGGTTCATAGGTTGATGCTCAACCATTGAGCCACACTGGCCCAGCCAAGCCTGGTCTCTTTTCTCACACTCAGGAACCTGAGCCACACTGAGAAAATCATGACCTAATAAACAAGGTCACTACAGAGTCCTGCTCTCCAGCCTTAGGGGGGTCCTCAGGGCCACTGGGTATCCTGTCTGTGCTCTGGTCATTCCTCCCATCAGCCATACCAAACCATCATTCTCCCATCCCTGACCCCACACTTGTCTCCCCTTCCCCTGAACAGATACAGAAACATGCAGGCAATAACCCCCTCCACTGTTCACACTGCCCTTCTTTTTTCCAAACTCCCAGTTGGGCAGGCAGGCGAGTCATTCTGGGCTCCCAATCCCATGCCCTGTATCTCACCCTCTTGTGTATTTGTCTACTCCCTTTGGCTCTTTCTTCCTTCCCACCCCCAGGGCATGTCTCCTAGCATTTTAAAAACACCATAAACACATCCTCTCCCCTCAAACATCAGGTCTTCCTCAGCCAGTCACCTCCCTCTTTACTCCCCATCACCACCAAGATTCTAGAAAGTGATGCCAACGCTTTCTGAGCACATTTTCTCACCTTCCACTCGCTTCTCAGCCCACTGCAATCAGTTCTAAAATGAAGCAGCAACTGCCTAAGTCCCCAAGGCAGACACCTCCCTTGACTCTTGGCAGCAGCTGGTGCTATTGACCATCCCCCCCAACCCACCCCCGTAATTCCTAACACCTGGTGTCCCCAAGCTCTGTCGTTGGCCTTACTCTCTTCCCTTCACACCCTTGTACACACTCTTGCTCCAAAGACAGGCCTCACTCACATATATCTTCCCTGCTGACCTCTCCTGTCAACACCCCCAGACCCCAGCCTTCCTCTATGCACAACCTGTCATTCCCCAAAGGCCCACTTGTAGCTGAGTATGCCCCAGCAGTCCCTTTCCCTGAGTCCTGCATCTTCTAGAAAGTCTTCCCTGGCTGGTTATGTGCACACAGCACCTACAGTGTCACTGCCTGAACCTCAGCCTTCCCTCCGGCCTCATTCATCTTCATATCCCTATACCTCCTCCTCATGGTAGGATTAATAAAGGTGTGTCAAATAAAAAAATGACTAGTGGGGGCTTTCATTAACATCCACACTTCCATGTTTCCCTAACTTATCGTCCCCAGCCCACACCTCTCCCTGAGCTCCCAACCACGGGTGACAATGTACCAACTACCTCCCAGCCCTCGCCATTGGGCTGTCCAGAGGCATCTCAAACTCCTCCACATTTGCATACCAACATCATCATCATTTTCCCCCTTACCAAAGCCATCTGGTTCCCAAGCCAGAAACTTAGCAGTGAGCCTGGAGCTTGTCTTCTCTCAGTCCTTACATATCCTGTCATGAAACCCTCTCATTTCCACCTCCTTAACCTCTCTCAAATTGATCTAGAGAACCCCCACCAGCCACAGAATCAAGTCTAAATTCCCTAACACAGCACCAAGGCCTTCCAGGACCCTGGGCCTCTCTCTTCAGCCTGACTCTTTCTTTTTTTAAAAAAAATTTTAAAAAAATATATATATTTTATTGATTTTTTACAGAGAGGAAGGGAGAGGGATAGAGAGTTAGAAACATCGATGAGAGAGAAACATGGATCAGCTGCCTCCTGCACACCCCCCACTGGGGATGTGCCTGCAACCAAGGTACATGCCCTTGACCGGAATCGAACCTGGGACCCTTCAGTCTGAAGGCTGACACTCTATCCACCGAGCCAAACTGGTCAGGCACAGCCTGACTCTTTCTACCCTCCACTCCCAGCAATTTGGAACTTTCCACAATTTCACCAAACCCATCGGCCTTTACTTGAAATGACTTTCCCTTTCTGCAACTTTAGGAGGTAACACTCAGAGCTTCTGCTAGTGCACCCACACAGCACCTTAACTTACAGATCACAACACTCCCAGTTAATTCAGAGTTTTTTTCCAGGATGCTGTGCAGCCTGGGGATAGGGGCTTGCTGAATACCTAAATGAATGAACAGAGCCTGGTGTAACATTCCTGCTGGAAACCCTTCTTGTATCCATGGTTGCCTTATTGACTCAGCAGTGTAAGAATCCTGACATTAAAATCAATAATAAGGGGGGGGAGGGGAATAAAATCAATAATAAAACCAGGTGCCTCTTTTTGTGTAATTGCTCACAACC